TAGAGATAAGGTGGATAGGGAGATACCAGAGAAGCACTGCTTTCAGATTGGAATCAAGGGTCTCAATGTATTGATGCGCCTTAACCCCTCTGTATAGCCATAAAGTCATTGAACATACAGCCTTTTGGAAGATCACAGAGCTTCCTTGATGTCTTATGCTTGACATCATATCTGACCACACTCCAGGTATCGTTAGCACAATACTCAGTTCCTCTTCTTTTCTTCTCTAACAAGGCTCACTGCAAAAACAATAAGGGTACTGGTTTTAAGGGTAACCATCTTTTGGAAGCAGTGCTACGGCATCCAAATCACCATTACACTTCACAAACCAACCGGACCTATCCTGCTGCAATTCAAACACAGTGAACAGAGTAGTCCTTGGACTGCAGATCCCAACAAGATGCAGATGGCCACCTGATTCTCCAAAATGGTCGAAAACCATGGATACGATCCCAGAGAAAGCAGTGGCATTCGTAATCTTTCAAGGCAACGGTATCCAAATCAAAATCGCCAAAGAGTTTTTCCTTTGATGGTACCAATAAATTGCCCATTCCAGTAAACCCATTGTCAAAATCCACATCGTAAGGCACAATGTACAGCCCCTTGCTGCTGGGTCTCCAAGCCTCGGTCTCGGATGAGTATATATCAATTTTATCAGATGTTCAGTTCCGACCCGGATTCTTCACTAACAAAACGACATTGTAGAAGGGTGACTTTGAGGATCAAAAGCACATTAACAGCCATCAATCTCTTTCTTGGTCGAGCTCTCAAAGAACCCGAATTCTTTTCGAGTGCCGGAAGCAGAATTACAAACATAATAAAGTAAACTGAGGTGAATCCTTGTGAGGCTTGGAAAAACACATCAACCCATTACAGAAATGATGAATTTTGAGATTGGTGGTGCTTAAAAACTTTGGGTCTTTTAACAATTTGGCCACAGCCTCCAAGGGAAATGAACGAAATTCAGAGTATGGACCTTGAATAATCAGCAGCAAACCAAAAGATGATTAGGGTTCTTTTGGACGTAATCGATTCTAATTGGGGGTCAGAGATGAGAGAGTACATTGTCGATACGCATTTGATCGGTGAGGGTCTTGCGGGAGGCGCATCAGGATCTCTAGCAGCAGGTCAACTGCGCTGGCCACGGCGCTGCAGCACCGGAATCTGTGGCTTTGCCGCTTCTTCCTCTCCCCCTCTCGCTCATGCTTTTAGCCTCCGGTCCATTTCTACGCGCGTGGACTGGTCAGCTCGTCAAAGTCTTTTTGTGGGTGAAACTTGTCAAATGTGACTTGCCACACTTGCATAAGGGCACAATTGGCATGACAAGTCACGCTCAACACACTCTACTGTGACAAATAGTGACTTTAGCCCTCTACTTATAGCGTATCTACTCAAGTTAACCATGGTTAATCATGCACGATGCTGACTATGAACTGCAGTTAGCGTCTATGGTAAATCCAGATATGCATATTTATAGTGTATGGTAATTGTAGAACGCGCATTTGTCATGGTTAATATAAGGCATGACACGGTCTTACAGATAAAATAAAATGAAGACGTCACGTCTTACAGATAAGAAAACTAGAGACTTCAATGATCAAATGGGAATAATAATAATTTGGTGCATTGTTATACCATTTCTACTTATGTTAACATGAAAAAATCCATTATGGACTATGAAATTGCGGTTAAGCGTCTATAGTAAATTCAGATATCAATTATCATGTATGGTAACATTGTGGAGCCAAAAATAATCACAATGTTACACGTGATTTTTGGACAAAAGAGGACAAAAATACCCTTCAGGCATAACGGGATTCCTACGCGCGAGCAGCGGTATCATCCTCAACCAAGTCAAAAGTATCCAAATAAGTACAAATTCAAAAAACTATCTCATAAATTCCTTCTAATCAATTAGCTAATTATCTTAATCATTCCATAACTCCCCAAATATTTCTTTCAAAATATGTTAATTAGTCATTAATATATTTATTACCTAATAATCTATTAATGGCTAATTAACCATAATTTACACCTAAAAATTACCTAAATGGCCGGTCCCTATTCTCCTATATGGTCGGCCATATCCCTATATATAGCTCACCATTCTCTCTCAAAAACACTTCCAACTCTTGCTAAAATTCTCTAGAATTCTAAACACTTTTTCTCTCTAAATTCTAACTTTGGCATCGGAGGTTCTTCGACCAAAGCCCTTCTTTATCGTGGTATTGAGGCTCTTGCTGATTAAGATGTTAATGTTTGTAGTGCATTTTGTCAGATCAAGGAGAAGAAATTTGCATCCACAAATGGTGCTTCAGAGAGAAAGAGTCAACACTCATAGAGACTCTCGCATTAAAAGAAATGGACACGGCGATTCTCGAGCTAAATGTGACATAGGAGCAGCACCTCGTTACGGGGCTCCATCATGGCACCACCCGGGCCACCACGGTCACACTACTCGCAGTGAGGTCATGGCACGTTACCACGACCCTGAATTGTGCCATCCAAGGTCACGGACCAAGCCAGACCCAAGCTGTCACTCCAGCCCAACGCGATCAATGCCCTGCCAAGCGAGCCAAGTCTCGACCCATGTGCATCACACTTCGAACAACTGCTCCAGTCGGCGCCCACTCTCGTGGCCCGGCCTGCTCCTGACAAGCAACCCACTCTTGTGGTCCAGCTACTCCAGCCGAGTAGCCTACTTTCGTGGCCAAGCTTGCTCCGCCAGCAGCCACTCTTATGACTAGCCTGCTCCCGGCATCCCTCCGTGGCCCGCTGCTCCACGAGCAGCCACTCTCGTGCCAACTTGCTTCGTGGCCCACTCTGCTCCCGTGGCCTTCCAAGTAGCAAATTGATCCAGATTAGTTAACTATCCGGCTCCAATTTGCAGATGACGATCGAACTAGGAGCGTTTTCACCACCTTTTCTCGGATTTGCATTTCCCAACTCAAATCTCGCACTGAGTCTACCCATTTTCACTGTCAGAAGACGCATTCATTCCAAGCTATCCAACCAAATGGAAACAACACTTGTCTCGACAAGTCATAGAGTTACGGCACCCTCGCACAGCGACGACCTTGGTGAACCAACTGTGCAGCGCACCGAGATGCACGTGCCCAACAAGGTGTCCAAGTAGGACAGGTGACAAAGAACTCTCCGCAGGTCAGGCAAGCACCACTTACCAGCCACGGACCGAGCATTCACGTAGTGTACACTCCTATTAGGCCCCCGAGATAGTGTAATACTCCCATCTTCAGAGCGCGAGGAGATACACTCTCGATTAGCCCACAGATGAGCATACATTCACAGTTGGGTTACACTTATCAACATGAGCGAACCTTCCAGTGAAGTGTTCTGCTGTTAAGCCGCAAAAGAGTATCCTCCACTTCCACACGGAGTAGGCCAGCCGACGAACGGATAAAACAATCACTCAACTGCTCAGTTCAACGGAGCTGCAAGGACCGCTCGCCTGCAGGGAAAGCTACATGCACCGCATCCCGCAAATGACAAACCATGAAAAGCAGCTTGACCAGCAAATCACAATTGGGGCATCCAAGCTCCACTCCTCAATAAAGCAAATTAGGAGAAGTAGAGAGATTCTTTAAGATTCCGTAATCCAACGAACAAGGTCACCAAAACAAGGCATTACGACAGAACAGACCAACTAAGCAGGTCACCCTTTATGGATGCACACGAACAGGCACAGCTCTACCGCGAGTTCAGCCATGCACTTTCAACATCTTCAAGGGATGAAGACCTGAAGAGACAATAAAACACTACCAAGCAATGTCCTCTATCAAAACAACGATTGACCATGCGCAAGATATTGGCCAACCAACTCTACAAGGCGAGGCGTAAGATTGGTTTTATACCCTGCCGTAAAATCCATCCGGAATTTCAATGAACTTTCTTTGTTTTCACAAGATATTCATCCTATTGGTCGATCCCAAAAGTCCGACCATTTGTTCTCTGTCAAGAAGAACCAAATGAGCCACTTCACAACTATGTGAGGCGGTTCCCGCAAAGAAGGCACGATAGTCGTATGCAACGACCGATAACTAAAGTAATCGCTTCCAAAAAGGACTTCCACAGACCACCCTTATCGAAAATTGATCATGAAGAAGACTCTAACTTGGCAGCTCTTTCCTTTGGCAGAGAAGCATGGCACTTTGGCAGGCTCGCAGCTGACAAGGACTTGAAGAATACCCGACAATTCCTTCTCTCCGGATTGCAACGGAGATATTCCACTGATATAAGGTATCTGTAGCTGCAATAAAGCTTCTACCATCATGCGAAGCTCTCCTTAACTCTGTATTTATAGTTACAAAACTCTCGCTCAGATGCTATTCGAATATAACCAAAAGTAACTTTGGATAGTTGTATACCCGGAAGCCAGTCTTAACGTTCAAACATATGCAGCATCTCAAATGACGCTATTCCCCCAACCAACACGCAACGATGAAAGGCTAAGCCTAGCGAATGCAAAGTTTTCTAACGAACGCACAACTTCGGCCCAAAAGGCACGCCAAGGGCAGATGAACACTGGAAGACCCACTCGAAAGAAATTTTGTCCTTTGTCGCCGTCAAAATCTTTACATGGGAACAACATGTCCGGCAGTTCAGCACTACTTCTTACTACAGTGTAACGGTCCAGCCGACCCTTGCTCCTATTCAACGCTAAAAGTGTCCATACCGCAGTAGCATCTCTTGCTTACTGTAACTGGCCTTAGCTTCTACATGTATTCATATGCAAAGAGCGCGCCAACGCGCCTCTAAGAGGTAGCCGAGCTGTCGCTAGCCGTGCCTGCTCACCTAAGAACTCTGGCATTTCATGTCCACGGCGCTCTAACTACAAAAGGTTCGAGCGCGTGTTCTTGTCTCCAACGGTTGATGCCCAGGTTCAAAGTATCTAAACATGACAGAATACGAACCACAAGTAGGCTTCCGAATGGTCTAAGAACTTGTGAAAAAGCTCGCAATATTCTTCTAACTCCAGCGTCTGATGGCTGTGCAGGAAGCAGGGGCATTTTTGCATATAGGCCATTCGGTGATCAATTTGCAAAGGAACGGGGCCTCGAGATTACCTGATGCCATTGTTGTTTCAAGTGCTATTCCCCAAAACAATGCTGAGATTTTGTATGCAAAGTCCGTCGGAGTACCTGTGTGAGTATATCTTTGTTCACTTTAGCATTTGAAGCAATTGGAACTTCTTTTGGTGTGTAATGTTATAAACACTGAAATATTCTTACCATGTTAGCAGTAGTAGTAGGAATTACGAATTGTTAGCAGTTACTATAGGCTAAGTTTGTAGATTGTGCGCAACTGTCTATTCCGTTCCTAGGCTTCCTATGTTGATGGATAACCAAGTAGGCTATTATGTATGTTACTTTAACAGTTTAGGGCTCGTTTGGAAGTGCTTTTAGAATGACTGAAGCGCTTTTCGTGAAATAGATTTTGGGTTTCAAAAGCACTTTAAGTGCTTTTTTGAAGAAGCACAATGCAGGAAGCACTTAGTGGTTCTACAGGATCCACTTAGTTTTTTACTAAGGATTGGTTTCAAAAACATTTCACCAAAAGCACTTTCGGTCATTTTAAAAGCACTTCCAAACGAGCACTTAGTGTTTGCTTATCTAAGTATGCTGCATTCACTGTTTTGCTTGATTTCATATCTTAACCTCTTTCTTCTACAGGTACAAGCGAGACCAGTGGTTAGGAAAGCTGACAGAGAGCTATAATCTCATTGCTGTAAGCGGTAGCCATGGTAAGAATATTTCTGTGCTGTTATCTTCACCAATCATTGTTATGCTATCTGCACATTATTTTCAAAATCAGTTTACGGAATGTCTTCTTTGGTCTATCTATTATTAATCTATTATGCTTATCTAGTTGTCAATGTGAATAAGTTGGTTGATTTCCCTTTCCTTTTGCTTCAGTAGAGTGTAATGCAGTTCTTATTAAAAAAAAAAAAAAAGAGTACGTGAAATGTGATGGCTATTTGCTTGAATGTGATATTGCCAAGAAGCTAAGGGTGCGTGCTTCATATCAAATCATGCGACGGATGCAATGATAGTGATAGTAGTGATTTAAATGTGGGAAATCTAAGATACTATTGGCTTGTCTTCATTTCTATTATTGCATAATAATGATAAGTATTAATACTTACAGGAAAGAGTACAACTGCAAGTATGCTTGCTTATGTTCTAGATGCCATGGGTGATAGTCTTACCGCAGTAGTTGGAGCACATGTGCCGCAGGTATCATTTTCAATTCTTTTACTTCTCTATACAGCTTTGGAGAAAATACGAGCTTAGCAGATGCAATATGTGAAACAACTCTTTCTTGTGCGGTCCACTCACCATGGTTAAATCATAGTTTTTTACTTTCTTTTGAATTAGCTTTTACAATAAAGTGTTTGATTGTCGTTTCATTAGTAATTGGAATTGGCTTTCTTAAATTATATGTTGGAAATGATTCAAACTGTCTTTTGCAGTTCTCAGGAGGAAACATTATCTTCGGTGATGGTCGTAATTTTGTCCTGGAGGTATACTTTTCCTTCGAGGTTGAAAATTTTGATTTGAAATCTAGGATGACATGTATTTTTTAAGGATTAAAGGTTGAAATGCTATAAAATTTTAATGGAATACATTATTCTGTTTAGGCCAAACAAGGGAGGTAGTAAATGGTATAGCATGCATGAACAAAACCTGAAGATATCTAATATTTAATTTTCCGTTCATGGTTCTGTAACAATGATTAGGAACCTATTATTGATTGGAATAAATGAATTTTAGTTAACCTGTACTACTTAATACTTAATCGACAATAGTAGATCGATTTCATGTTCAATTGCTCATAAAGATTACTTACATATTTCATGTTTGTAGTAGGCTGACGAATACGATTGCTGTTTCCTGGGATTATCACCTTCTATAGCCGTTGTAACAAATTTGGATTGGGAGCATGTTGACATATTTCCAAACGAGGAGGCGGTTAAAGCTACTTTCAGGAAATTCCTGAACCGTATCAGGGTCGGTGGACATCTCATTTTATGTGGGGACAGGTACATTGCTCGACTATTTTGGCAGCATATTGCATTTCTGGTGCAGCAGAAAGTTCAAGTGGCAGGCATTATACCACAAAAGAAATGACAGTTTCCTAAGTCATCCAGCATATTACACGAGCTGCTCTTCATTTTCGTATTTATCTTATGGTTGTGTAACTCTTATTTTGGATGTAATTCGACTTAAAACTATATGGTTCATCGTGTGTAGATTTTTGGTTTGGTCCTTTGGTAGCGGTTGCATGCATTAGTTATTCAATATACATGTCTATTGTATTTTCTGCTCACCATTCTTACAGATGTAAATTTATTTGGTAGTATACTCTTTGTAAATGTTTCCCGTTTGCAACAGTCAAGGTGCATTTTCATTGCTGACTGATGGAAAGCGGGCAGGTGGATCCGATAACTGGAGATGTTCTGATAGCTACAACGTAACAACTTATGGAACCACAAGTTCTAATGAATGGCATGCATCATCGATCAGGCCAAATTTAAGGGGTGGTAGTGATTATACACTGGTACGTAAAGATGGTTTCTTATCATGCCGGGATGCTCCCCTGTTGTCTACATTATTCAGTTTCTTCTGGAAAAAAATGGTGTAGGAAACTTAACTGAATTTCTTTTCCCTGGTTAATCACTCTTTCCCCTGCAGTGTCATTGCGGGCACCCTGTGGCAGACATCAGTCTACAGATTCCAGGAGTTCATAACGTCCTTAATTCGTTGGCAGTGAGTGGCATACTGTTCTGAGTATAATTTTCCTCATCACATTTCTGTTCTGTGTTGTATTATAATTTATAACCATCATTTGCTCGATATTTTTAAAGGCGGATTTTCGTGTTTTGGATTTTCGTCTGTTGGCATAAATGAACTACAAGCCCTGTAATGTGTAAACTTATTGTGGCTGTTAATTGTGCTGTATTGTGCAGGTTATTGCCACTGTGATGGCATTATTCAGTGACCAATTTCAAATCAACAATACAATCAATCTTGTGAGGTTGCACTTAAACAATTTCATAGGCATTTCAAGACGTTTTGAGATGATTGGCGCCGTATGCGGATGCCATATATATGACGATTATGCTCATCATCCAACAGAAGTTAGTGCAGTAATTCAAGCTGCACGCCAGAGGTTCCCTGTCAAGTCTCTTTTGGTCGTGTTCCAGCCTCATACTTACAGGTATTCACTCAACACGAGAACAATGCGCAGAGTCTTTTATCGCTAGCATGATTCGTATGATTTGTGCTAGACTGACTGACTGATACGTTTGCAGCCGTTTAACAGCACTGAAGGATGACTTCACCAATGCTCTCCGCGATGCAGATCAAGTCGTAGTCACAGAGGTAAGTTGTCATAGCACAGAGTCTTTGGATTACCTTATAGCCAAAGGGCTAATTGGTTGGAAGTATGATGTCAGGTGTATGCCGCTAGAGAGAAAGATGTCGAGAATGTTGGCGGAAGAGAGTTAGCTGCTACGATAATTGGCCCGCCATCTGAATACATCCCTTCTCTGGTAATACCCAAGTTTTAAGTTCTTTTAGGTACAATTATGTCTGAAATCGCATTCGAAACATGACTGTAAACGATAAAAAATCGCATACCAGGATCGAATAAAAACCCATAAGTGCTTCAAATGGTTATCTAGGAAGGATTCGGGTAACTGGATGATTTGAAGATTGTTGAATATGCAGGACGATGTTGTAGAGAAGTTAGCATCTCAAATATGCAAGAACCCTCGTCGGGAAATCGTTGTTTTAACACTTGGAGCAGGTACTCAAATCTTGATGAAACTAATCTCACTAATTTCAGATCATTCTGGTTCATATAAAAAGGGACAAACTTTGAACTAAAACTTACGAATCAAATAATTATTCGATTTTTTCAGGTAATATAACTACCGTCGGCCCAAAGCTGCTCTATGAATTGAGAAGGAGATTACAAGTGAATTCGCAGCTTGCTCCCCACTGATCTACCTTCCGTGGCTTCATCATCAAGTTTGAAGATTCAAGTGTTTGATGCATCAGTGACAGTCACTGAGCCGAACTTCCCCAAACCGGAGGTGGAAGGTGTAGTAACCCCGTTCTGAACTACGTCAAGAGAAGCCATTTAACAAAAGTGACCGGCTTGCAAGCTAAGCATTCGTTTCCGAGCAAACTGCAATGCGTACTTACCAAAGGATGGAAAGGAAACGAGTTGTTCAATGCACAATTCATCAAAAGATAAAGATCAAACACGAACTTCTCAATCCGGAAAATTCGAAAGACAGGTACCAATTTTCCTTGTTTCTCAATCAAGTAAATACATCACATTAATCCTTGCATTCCCTAAAAACATAGAAAGACTAGAAATCTAAACTTTAAGCTATCACTAACAAAAACACAATCGGAGAATTGAACTGACTCACCCTGTACACAGCTTCACTCACTTTTTTCTCTACTACTGAACGGTCATCTGCAGATAAAAGCACAAGCAGAACAATACTTGCAAGCTTCGAAATTGGCGCACTTCCTACCCTCCGAAAAAGGAGAAAAACCCGCGCTTCTTGGGCTCTTCCTCCACCATGACAGCCTGCATACTGTCCTGCTCAACAAGCCTCCAGGCCGCCTGCTCGAAAGCCAGCCCTGCCAATGTGGGTGGCCTGTTCAAAACCAGAGGGTACCCTCTGTTGGTGCTTCTGATGACCTCCGTATCCTCCGGAATCATCCCCAACAATGCCAGTCCCAACATCTCCTGCACATCCAGCACCGACATCATGTCTTCCCCTTTGATCATGTCCGTCCGAACCCGGTTCACCATCATCTTAATATCCCTTATTCCGTCACACTCCAGCAGCCCAATGACCCTGTCAGCGTCTCTCAAGCTCGTGATGTCCGGCGTGGTCACCAGAACGGCCTCATTGGCCGGCGTAATGGCTGTGATGAATCCGGCATCGATTCCTGCCGGGCAATCGATGAGAATGAAGTCCGGGCAGCCCTCTTGCCTGGCTTTCAAGGCGTCAACGACCCAGACCAGGGCCTTGCCGCCGAACCCCATTGGCAATTTGGACCGGGGCTTCGAGATACAGAGCAATTCGAAGTTGGACCAGCGCTTGTCCCTGACGAGGGCCTGGTCGAGGCGGCAGTCGCCGTTGAGGACCTCGACGACGGTGTAGTTGACGCGGTTCTCGAGGCCGAGGAGGAGGTCGAGGTTTCGGAGGCCGACGTCCGCGTCTATGGCGACGACGGAGAAGCCGAGGCGGGCGAGGGAGAGGCCGACATTGGCGGTGGTGGTGGTCTTGCCGACGCCGCCTTTTCCGGAGGTGATGACGACGACGCGGGGGGTGTCGCCGGACAACTGGGGCTTCCTGTTGTATTGGAGGACGGCGCGGACTGTGAAGGGAGAAGAAAGATTGGGTTTTAGGGTTTTGGGTTTAAAGGCTTTTAGTGGATATGCGGCGTTGAGGAAGGAGGAGGTGGAGGTGGAGGGCTTGGGGTGGAGGATGGCGGGGAGGAGTTGAAGAGAGACCATTGCGGCTTTTGTGACCCTTGGATTAGATCAGGTGGGATCATCAAAACAAAAGAAAGGAGAAGGAGATGAACATTTTGGTGGGGAATGTGTGTGTGACAGCGTGACTAGTGAGCAAAAGGGAGAGTGTGAGTTGTGACCGTGAGAGAACGCTTCAACAGGGAAATAGGAGGTGGGTGGGTGGGTGATTGGAATCGAAATCCCAAGTCGTATTGAAGGGAACCGCATTGAATTGTTTGGTTTTTTACGGCCTTGAAATGGTTTTGGTTTAAGACCTAATCATATACTAAAAACTGGGTTGTAAATCAAACAGTATAAATTGTAACGACTAATGTAATTTATATTATTTATGATTTTGTTGTTTATAGTTGAGAAAATTGTAATCCATCAATTAAAAATTCATAACCATTGGTCCTTTTACTTATCAAAACGTGCAGCTATAATCATTTTCGTTAATTCCATAAAAATTCCATCAAAATGATTCATGTTGAAATGACTATTATTACAAATGGGTTAAAGTTGAATGATCGTTGTTCCAATTGAGTTAAAAGTTGAGGAACCATTTCTCTTATTGGGTTAAGGTTAAGAACCATTGCTGCAATTTTTTTGATTTGGTTTTCTATAGTTGCTTCTTGATTCAACCTCATGTGCGTGGCACGTGACTTATTTTAACGGAAGTTTTAACGGAGTTGACGAAAATAATCATAACTATACATTGATAAATTAAGAGACCAATGATTATGAACTTTTAGTTGATAGATTATTGTTCCAATTAGATTAAAGTTAGGAGTAAATTGTACAAATGGTCCCTCAACTTTAATCAAATTGGAGCAATGGCCCCTCAACTAAAAATCAATTACCATTGGTCCCTCAACTTATCAAAATGTGTAGCTATAGTCATTTTCATCAATTTTGTCAAAATTTTGTCAAAATAAGCTATGTTGGAATGACCATTTATATAATTAGGGTCCCTCAACTCATCAAAGTGTATAATTATGGTTCTTTTCGTCAACTATGTCAAAAAATTTGTCAAAACGAGTTATATTGTAAGGACCATTGCTACAATTAGATTAAAGTTAAAGGACCATTTCTCCACTTGAATTAAAGTTCAGGGACCAATGGTAATGGATTTTTAGTTGAGGGACCATAGCTGCACGTTTTGATAAGTTGAGGGACCAAAGGTAATGGATTTTTAGTTGAGGGACCATTGCTCCAATTGAGTTAAAATTAAGGGACCATAGCTACAATTTACTCTAAAGTTAAAGGATCGTTATTATAATTTCCACAACTATAAACAACAATAGTCCCTACCACTCAACATCACAGACCCACCTTATTCCGAGGAACATGCCCAATGTAGAGGCCCAGGTCGGCCCATTACCCACTCTACAGTCTACATTACACTCCCACCTTCTTATTCCTGTACTTAATCTAAACCGTCCGATCCAAAAAACAAGTGTCTTCAGATCTACAATCTTGACCGTCTAATAAACAAACCAATAGAAACACTGACGGAAAGCAAGAGACACCATGGATTGCCTCCAAACCTAGAGAGAGGATCCTCGTGGGATCTTCTTTACGAGGATCTTGGTAATTCTTTAATTACATCCGTTCATCGTATATCGTACGATCAATTTTTGCACTGTTTATATTCAAATTTAAATAAAATATATATAATAATTTCTGAACACATAATTTATGATGGACGGATATGATTGAATATTCGCAAAAAATATCCAGCGAGGATCCTCCTGGCCCAACGTAATCCCGAAAGGCCACAGAAAAGTCGTAGATTCTAGATATTGTTTACCCTTTCGGATCAACTTCCCCCCTCCCGTCTTCCCGACACGTGTCCTCCGCCCATCTGTAAATTACAAAATTACCCCCCTTCACTCTCTCTCGCTCTCTCTGGTCGGTTGGTTATCAAATTTCCACTTCCTTTTTACTTACAAAACAACCACCGACTCCCGGTTTCTTCCTCCTCTGTTTTTCTCTCCGGATCCGATTTCGTCCGAGTTTTTCCCGATTTCTTCACTCCGCGGATGAGATTCCGAGCTCGAGGCCCTTTCCTCTACCTGTGATTTCAATCTGGTTTGCTTTCTCTCTCCCTCTGTTCGTCTTTGATTTCGCGTGTTTGAATTTGGATTTAATTGTTGGTGTTTGTTTCGATTTATCTGTTTAGATTAGTCTGTGATTGGATCTGGATTGGTTGGTGTTTGAATTTGATGATACTGTATTCGAACTGATTAGATCACGCTGTTATATGTACGGATTTGTGATGAGCTGTTGGAGCTGTGTTGATTTTTTGTACGGATCTGTTTGTTGATTTTTTGTACGGATCTGTTTGGTTAAGATTGGATTTGAACGAATTGGATACTGGAATCTGTTTGGCTGATGAGAAAATTGAGTGGAAGTTGAATTTCTGGTTATTGAATTAAGTGAGAGGGCTTAGATGTCGGTTTTTGTGTTATTTCATCATCTCCCCAATACGATTAAGATTGGATTAATTGGATTGGTGTTGTTTTGTAATTCATAATCGAAGCGGGTTTCATGAGTTGACTCGATTGGTATCTCTTGATTTTGTGAGCTTTTTATCTACTCTTGGTCCAGAGTTTTGTCACCAACAAGTATCGGATGGATATATTTACCATTAATTGAAATCATTGGAGCTTTATCATTAACTAAGTGTTTCTTGGGATATAGCTTGCGAGGTTTATGAATTATGACGACGTTATTTGGATCCAGTTATTTGGGAAGCTTGACTTCACTTTTAATTATGATGATAGTTGGGGTTAGGCATAGTAGGGGATGCGTCCATGATTTACGTTGCTTGTGTTTGGTAGCATGTGTGTTCTGCCTTTCGAGCATCCATTTTATTCCTTTCCAATGGCGCATCCAGTCTGTTAATGTTCATGATTCAGAGGTGTTTTCTTGTTTATTGTTTCTTTGAATAATGACTTGGGAAGCAGTGGTTTTCTGGTTCCCAACTAGGCTGAGGATACTGCTTTCGGAAGTCTCTTCAATTGGGCTCTTTGTGGATTGCGGTGTTACTCGTGTTGTCTTATAGTTGCTGTTAAGCGTGTCTTGTATGCTTATTTATATCGTTACTTTTATGTGTGCATTCTATTTTTGCTGACGTAGAAGTTTTGGTTTAGCTTGTGACCCTCTTTGCTATTTTTCAGCTGGGAAAGGCCATGTGAGCTATTTGGAATAGATTTTCGTTATTGCTTCCACAGTTGGTATTGGATGATCAGTTTTTCTGTATGCTCAAGATGGGTAAATGCAAGGGTTGTGGGAAACTAGGAAGAATGATGCCGAGGGGTGGCTCTGTGAGTGCATATCAGTTTTCCCTTCTGTTGTCACCTGTTGTTTCCGTGTGGGATTGCATCGTTCGCAAAATGAGGTACTCCTATAGACCTGAGTGGGTGTAGTTGTTAGGATTATAGTAATTATATTAGTTTTCAGCAAGAAAAGTAATTAATTTTATTTAGTAATATAGAAAAGTAAGGGAACACAGTTATAGGGAAATGTATACACTTTAGAGAAATTCTCAAAACAAGTTAAACAAAGGCAACTTTTTGGAGGTTGTTGGTTTAATGGATAGCATGGATTGTAATAAATTGCAACCGGTTGTGAGAAAAGTTAAGAAAAAGCAGGTGAAGGACGAGTTGGATCGTCAAAAACAGGCTGAGAAAAAGAAG